CAAAGAGGGCAGGATCCTCTTGTGGAGCAAAATTGGGCAGCCTGTTCACCAGCAAATAACATGGGAATGAGATGAAATTATCCTTCCATCCAAAATGTCTATGTACTTTACAAATACAGCAGGGGAAATTCCTATCATCAAGACAGAGGTCTCATCCCACCTGTGTCCTCATCCAGTCCAATATCAGAATAAAATTCCCACTGTTTCTCAGGAAACACAGCTATCTCCTCTCCACAGCTTTCTCAGGAGGAGAGTTTTGGGGAGGTCTTCTCTCCTATGACCTTGGCCACGTGTCCAGTGGTTTGACCCACAGAGCTGCCTAACTGCTACAAAATATGTAGAAGCACAGTAATAAGCCATCTGCGCTTTGGTTTCAGGGTTTTCAGCCTTAAGGAGAGATCAAAGTACATGCAGATGAGTCACATTTACAGTAACTAGATGAACCCCATCATGAAGCACTGCTTTGGCCTTGCCAGTCTGAACGCGCTCCACACCCGCAGGCATTGGCATTGTCCTTTAGCTCCCAAGTTCCTTGGGCCAGGAACTGGACAAACATGGAATTTCCACAGCCAGACACAGCTTCAACCGCTCTCTTCTCCCTGTCTGGAAAGGTCTGCACCTCCAAAACCCACCACAAAAACTTCATGTCCAACTCACTCAACCGTTGCAGGATTGACTCAGATAGAAATAGCTGCAGAAATGCTTTTTATATAATTCTTTGTACTGAAAGCAAGGACTTAGAAGCAGCACTGGGCAATCTGGCATGTCCAAGTGCAGCAGTCTGGAAGTGAGGAGTTTAACGGATGAGTGAGTACCTGGGGGGCATCTAATAAGGCTTTCAACAACTCATTCCCAGGATCTCGTCTGAATAGCGTTCAGAGTCACAGCTGGGCTGCAAAAACAAAGCAGGAGCAACCTCAGTGCTCACCGATGGATTTACTGCTCCCTGCAGGCACTACAGGATGCTGTCCCCAAACTGCATGGGTGGATCTCCCAGCATGGGCCTTGCAAGCCCTTGCATGCCCAACACATCACCTGGTCTCCAATAACCACTCTAAAGTGCATCTTTGGGGCTGCCATCACCACTACGGGCAGCCTGGATGGTGGTAGGTCAATGGGCAAGCAGAGGGCTAATAGATCTGCTTGCCAAAATCATCTCCCAAGGGCTGGAGAGCTGGGGCACGGAGCTGCATGGTGGGTGCTGACCACTGCTGCCCACGCTCTGTGGAGGACACAGGCATCTGTTCAATGTTCAGCCAGCAAGGAGGACCACAGACCCTGTCTTGCCCGGGGGCTCATCCTGGGTCTCCTGATGGGGACAAAGACAGTAGTGTGTCTGGGGAGGAAGCTGAGCTGAGGAGCCCATTGCAACTGCAGCTGTTTGCACAATGCAGAGCACGTTTGGGCTGCTCTCACACACTGCCTGGGCTACAGCTAGAAAGCAAGGAGTTGTCAATGGGGAAACTCTCATTTTGCACTCCTAGAAACACCCCCGCCACAAATTCTAGAAGAAAGAGCAGCAAAATTGAACTGTCAGAGCACAGTCCTTCAACTTGGACACTCCTGTGAGATGGAGGCTGCAGAGAAGCTTAGGCAACCAGGTCTAATGCTAAAAATCCCAGCACGGGCTGTTGGAGCCGTCCTGCCTTGCTTCCAGCCTGCAGTGATTCAGCACATGTGCTGTCATTTGCCATCTCCACAGCACCTGACTGCCATGTGGCTTGGTGTCAAGCATGGCCCAAGGCCACTTTGAACCTGAGAAGCAGTTGGGTACAATATAACACACGGGCAGTGCAGGGGTATGGAGGGGATCTTGCAATGCAGGCAAAGCCCCAGGGTCAGCAGGATGTAAACAGGAATTACCAGCTGGAGGCTCCTGCTAAATGGCCCTGGCTCTTCCCTGCACGGCAGACAGGATGCTGAGAGGTCCTGATGCTGAGGACAAGCCCTGCAGCAGTGAGGGGAAGGAGGCCACAATGACATCCTTGCAAATACATGCCCCTGGTCTTAGTGTCATAAGCTTAGCAGATGGCATAGGGGTAGAGCTGCCTTTGTGCAGGGAAGCTCTTCTCCAGGGCCACTTTTTGAAAGCTCAGCTGGACCTGGGATTCTGGATCTGACTAAGGATCACCGAGGAAGCTTTGGAAACTGTTGTGTTCATGTCTTCCTAGCTGTGGCCATTTCTGGCGTCAGACAAGGCCCAGCTCCACACCAAACTCTGCTCAGTTAGTGTGATAAAGGTGTAACCCAAAAGCAACTGGTCCTATCCCCACTGATCCTACACTGAGCCACTGTCACTTAAGAGATACTACTACCTCTCCAGTCTGGGGTCCCATCACCACCAATGCCTGGAAGCAGACACCCAGGAAGGCAGAGAACACAGCAATATTGCCCTGAGTGCATTCCCAGCCTTCAACAACACGGAGTATCTGAAGCTGAAAACAGCAACCTGACATTCAATAGACCATCCTGGATCTTTTACTTTTTTCCCCTTGAAATCAGTCTCAAGCTCCAACCATCCTGTCCTGGATCTTTTTCAGTTGCAGTTATCTCAAGGCCTTTTGCTGCCCCTCCAATTTACAAAGTTGGGGGAGGGATAAAAAAATAATAAAAAATGCAAGCCAACTTGACAAAGCCTGGATAAAATTTCCATCGTGTTCTTAAAGACATGACTTTGCCAAAGTAGGAAAAACTAAGTCACAGCCTTGGAGAAGTAGGAAATGCCAAGTAAGGTGGCTCTCCCCACCCAGTAGCTAGGGAAATGTGGGAAGGAAGGCAGTTTCAGACAGACCATTTTATCTCTCAGACCAGATGGCTTTAAATGCTTCCCCAGAGCTTGGAAAGGACCAGGCTCTACTTTGAATTGCTTTTCATACTGCCTCATTAGAAAGTAAAAGGGAAGAAATGAACAATCTATAACTTTGTGGCATCGGGAAATAGCTCTGTTAATCCCATTTCCTTCCCTGAGCTTGCTCAGGGCAAGTCATCCAGCCTCAGGGCCACTTCACCTCATCTGCTTATCCTTGCCCTGCAACCAGGAGCCTGGGCACCAGCCCAAAGGGCAGATGCAGCCTCCAGGGCATTATTAATAAATTGGAAAGGTCTAGGTTGTAAAATCTGACCTGGTGCTTAATTGTGACACTCCCAGCATCTACTTGCTGCTGCAGATCCAAGCGGCACCCACCTCCCAAAGCCAAGTCTGTGGGAGCAAGGGTGAGAGCGGCAGAGCAGGAGGAGAGAGGAGAGGAGCACCCTAGGGCAGGCATTGCAAGGCCCAGGGTGGGGGTACCTGTGGTACCCCTTGCATCCTGAGCAGAAGGCCTCTAGGTTTCTTGGCCTGCCTAGGAAAAATGTGAACAAATCCATTAAGATGAGAATTTCTCCCTTTCACCCCACTTGCACATCTGTGATGGAGAGCAAAGCCCTGACCAGCCACGCAAGGCCCAGGTCTTGCTCCCACCTGCTCACAGCTACAGCTCAGCCTGGCTGGTCCACAGGCAACCAGTGCTTTACCTGCCAGTGTTGCCACCAAACCATGTTTTGTCATCTTAAAAACCTCCTGAGCTCAGAAGGAGCCAAACAGCACTGATGGGCCCTCACCCATGGCACCCAGGTTCTCTATGGCACCCAGCTCACTACCAGGCCTCTCCCTTGGCCTCCGTCTCCCCTGGGAGGGCTACACCTTCTCAGCCTTATCTCACGTCCAAGTGGAAAGGTAAATTGAGCCTTCTGCAAGAGTCAGGACTAGAAGATTTTAGGCTCTTTCAGTGCCTGCTCCCATCAGAGGCGGAGGTCCCATGGCAGAAACAGCATTAGGCAACACATCTGGCAGGCAACACTTGGTGTGCTGGTTGGACCCACAGCTCCCAGGGTAGCAATGGGTGGCTTTGCACAGAGTCAAAGGCTGGAACATGGTAAAAGTTTAAAATGTTAACAGGGCAGAAAGAGAAACGGCAATGCCTAGCTTAGTTTCTCAGCTGAAGAATACCAAATTTTAGCCAGCTACTAGCTGTGTATGACAAAGCCAGGTGTCCCCAGTCTCCAGGTGGCCAAGGCCACCAAACCAAAGATGTGTGCAAAGAGGCAGTGGGGGACACATGCAACCAGCCCTGCAGCGCTGCTGCGGTTTCTCATCCCAAATTAATCCACAGAGGATGCTGCCCTCTTTTGGGCTCAGTGGGACTGGCAGAAATTCAGGGAAATTGGGAAAGGCCCAAGATCAGGGCTTTTGGGGTCTCAAAACCCCACATAGGGATTCTCAAAGGTGATGACTTCCCATAGCTGTCTCAGGGGACATCCCAGGGGCTTCTCCTGCTGTACCTGTGGGTGGTCCCTGAACACAGCCTGGGAAGGGAAGAGCAGGGCCAAGCTCAGGCGCAGTACCTGAAGGACAGGGAGATGATTGCTGGGATGAAGAGCAAGAAGACGAAGGCAAGGGGTTGGGAAGGTCTCCTGGGTCTGGGGAGGACCACGAGGTCCCTATCAACTCTGCAAGCTGTTAGCATTTCAATTAATGATTTTCTTAAATTAATTGATACTAAGATAAGTTCACAGCCAGTTTAATTAAGCCAGCTATGACCTGGTCTTGTGCTTCCCTGGCAGGGAGGAGGCTGGAACCGCACTCTGCCAAGCCCCCAGGGTGACACTGAGCTGTCCCAGTGCCACCTGAAGCCCAGGGCTGGCTGCCCCCACCACCCTATCCCCGCTACCTGCAACAGGAGAGTAGAAACCAGCGCTTGGGTGGCTCCCGTGCTCTGGGAAGATGCTGCCCTGCAGTGCTCAGGGCTGGGTGCCAGCCAGGCCTGCCTACGCCGGGCTCCTCCCTGCCTGCATTTCCTGCTGCTGCTGGCACCTCCCCACAGTCCTGGGCACAGCCAGGTCGGTGGCCTGGTGTCCGCTCCGTGGGCTGGCCCTGTGTACCAGGACTACTGCCCCACCACGGGATACCCCTGCCTGCACCGCTGGCTCCCTCTGCCTCTGGTGAGCAGAATTTGGAGACTCACCCTGGAGCCCACTTCCCACCCAGCTCCCCGGCATGCGGACACCAACAGCGATGATCCTGGGACTGGTGCTATGCCCTTGCGGGCTCCTGCTGACTCTCACTGGGACACTGGCACCCAACTGGAGGCAGGTGAGCCTCATACCTGACCAGCCTATAGACCTCGTAGTGGAGCAGGGCATTTGGGACATGTGCAGAGAGCGGCAGAGCAGCCACGACCGCGGCTGACGAGCTGGGCTACTTTGAGCAGGTCCCTGTGCGGGTGGCCCAGGGGATGATGCCCTCCTCACTGGTGCTCACCCTCATCGGCTTGGTGGTGGCCACTTTGGGGGTGCGCTGCTGGCGGAAGGAGCCGCGGCACCTGCTGGCTGGCGTGGCAGGGCTTGTGCTGCTCCTTTCGGGGCTGCTGAGCCTGGTGCCGGCCTCCTGGTACACCCATGAGCTGTGGGCACTGCCTGCCATGGATGGCAGCACGCTGAGTGTAGGCTACAGCTTGGTGCTGAGCTACTTAGGAAGCTGCCTGGAGATCTTGGGGGGGCTGGCCCTCGCCCTCAGCTTCCACCAGTGCTGCAAGGAGCGCAAGGCCCCCAAGCCGCCCCTCAGCCCTGTGATGGAGACTGTGCCACCCTCCACCACTGGGGCCTACCGCAATCCCTGGGATGTGCTGGATGATGAGCGAGACGGACGACACTCGAGGAGCACCTTGCCTTGTGACTCTGACTTGTAGCCCCAGCACAGGGACAGCAGTGGGCACCGGCCAGTGGGCCACCAAGACCAGTGCTGGCTGCTGCCCCTCCAACCCTGGTGTCTTGGAGCACCTCGGAGCAGGCGGGAAACAAGACCAAGGACCTGGCTTGAGTCTCTGTAACTTCCTCAAAAGCCTGACCTGCTCCAGGCCCCACAACTGTGCCAAAGCCATGCTGTGTTGAGGACCAGCTCCTGCCCCTCCATGCAGCTTTTAGCTCATCCTCCTGCACCGTGCAGCAGCTCAGGCAAAGGCAGGTCCGTTGTTCCCATGTGAGCATGGTCTAGGTTAGCACTGTATGGCCTTCAGGGCTGGGAACAGGGGAGGGGAGCACTTCCCACACATTTCTGCTCAACTCAGGGCTGTGCAAAACAGCAAAATAAATGAAGAGGAACGGGGCTGTGCTGTGGGATGGATATGGGCTTTCTGCCAGGCAAGCTGGGCTGCGAGCCAGTGGGCACAGCTTACCCAGCTCCCCTGTGCTTTGCCTGAAGCAGGGAGGAAAGGTCCATAAAAGGGGACAGGTAGCTTTTATAGCACCTTCCTCAAGGACTTTCCCCCCATGGTCAAAATCAACTCTGGAAGAGGTTTTTTCCCCTTGCTTGAGCACAGCCACTTTAGGTTAAAAAATAAAATAAAAAAGATTACAAGCAAAGAAAATAGCTTATATTTCCCCTTTCATCATTAGCTTGGTGTGAGGCAGCAAAACTGGTCTCACTGGTTTGTAAGGGACACACAGGAGGTCAAAATTGCGCTATAAAATCCTGCTTGACCCTTGCATAACAGGGCAAGAGTCAAGCCAGCTTCCTTGCAGAGATATTCAGCCAGATTTCCACTTCAGGTGAGCCCAGAGCCCCCTGGCCAGCAGGTTAAGCTTGACAAGGGATCAAGATTCCCTTAAGTGTGGCATCCTGCATTGGGGAATCAGGTTCAGGTGACTCTGTGTCTGGGGGCTGGAGACTTCCTGAAAAACCTCAAAGAGGTTGTTGTTTTTATTTTCTGGACCGTAAAGTTCCCTGGAGCTTAGAGATCTGGGAAGAGCAAAGCAACCTCCCCTCCCCAGCCCACACACAAACCACCATGGCACCAGAGATGCTGCACAACGTTCCTTTATGTAAATACAGTGTCGGGGTGAGATGTTCCCTTCCTCAAAGGCGCTGGCAGCTCCTGCAGAGGTCACAGATGGGTACATCAGAGATGAGCCTGAGCCAGACTCCCCGAGCTCACCCCATACTCTGGCACAGGGGGAGTGGGACAGCCCCTGTACCAGACCCCAGGCACACCCAGGCCTTGCCCCTCTCCCCAGCAGGAGGGCAGAGCTTCCCTCAAGAGTGGGCACCATGCTGGTGCTGGTCTTGGGGAGAGATCTGCATATCAGAGGGGGACATTGGGGCACTCCCAGGGTGGTAGGGGGATGCCTACCAAGGCCTGATCCAGATGCTGCTCACCTCTTTCCCATCGTAAGCTTCATTCACAAAGGTGTCACTCTTGGGGGGAAGCTCTTCCTCTTCCTCATCCTCTTCTTCGGGGTCACTTTCACGGTGGTACAAGGTCAGCACCCGGGTGGAGGCAGTGCTTGATGTTCTGGGAGGAAAGGAAGTGCACTAAGGATGGCACGGCCATCTCCTAGAGATGGGGCAGATCCCAAGATCCTGCCCACAACCCCCCGTAATAACCTGCTGGGGCGATCAGAGCTTTCC